GGGTTGCCGGAACACCAATTACATGTGCCAATTTCATCGGCACCTGAACCACTTGAACACTAACTGAACATCCCTACACCTCCGCACACAACGCATATAAACAACAACAAAAACAACACAAGTAACGTAAAAATACAATAATGGACGAAGATGGTTCAAAATAGGCAGCTGCCTTTCGAGACAGATGATAAGAGGGAAGTAATTGTGAACATAAGTGCAATCTGCAGCTCTCGCTGATGCATAAGTAACATGCTTCAGTGCCCAGTGAATTAAGTCATAGTATTTTCAAACAGTGAATTGTGTTTGTCACCCCTACCTACCATAAATAATTTCTCCCCGAGAAACGACTAACGCGGTAGGTATTCGACTACTTATTGCCCTATTCATTCATGGTCGACCGCAGCTAAATGTTGCTTCGGTATGCGGCGCGACAGGCAAAAATGACAGCTTGTTTCATATCAGTATGATAAGATCAAGTATTCAAGCAATTCCCAGAAAATTAAGTGAGTATAGGGAGACTGAAAATTTTAACTGTTTTCATTTCATAAAGCATGAAACAGACTCTCCTCTGACCTCTACCACAGATATATTCAATAGAACAACTGGTAACTCTCATACTTCATATAAACTCTTTGTTTAATGTCACATACAGCAAACACGAGAGTTTTAGTAAATTGTCAAATAACTGTTAGCGTATGCAGTAACCATATGCACTATAGGATTTCCTCTACATCCACGAGTTACCGAAACCAAGCCTGCTTTACCATTAGGCATCTCACTTAAAAAACGTTATCCGAAGTGAACTTATTTGCGATGCCGTCTAACTTCGGGATCAAGGTTACACCGCTCCACTCGAGGAATTTATTAGACAGCTCGGACATATTAGTCTCTGTCTCTTCACAACCTCGTCTTACAACGTCGAATGATGGCCAAACTCCAGTGCCCAAAAAATTTCGAAACGCAAGTTGTGCAAATAGGATCGAGTTGTCAACCTACTCAATATTCACCTTGCATATCATGTTTTCTTGGCTTCCCTTACCAGTCTCCTTGTCTATTCGCATTGCGACCGTCATGTTTCTTGATTTTGAGCCAGTTCACTTGTCGGTACAGCATCTTTTGGCTTATTAGGCCCGCGGTGACAGTCCAAGTGTTCGTTTAATTTGCTAAATTCGGTTCGCAGTTGTGTTGATTGCAAATGAGGCGAGCTTTTTGACTATTATGCCTTCTTTTATATCATTTTAGGTCATTTACATCGCTGTCGTCCTCTACGCGCCGTCACTCGCCCTCAGTCAAGGTAATGCCTCACAGGAAATTTGCGTCCATTCATTGTAGGAAGCTAAAGCACAAGTCCACTTCTATATCTGATTCAAATCCTAGGTTGCTAAAGACTGAGATTGCCTGATGGTTTATCGCAGGGGGTAAGTAAGTTGAGTCCTCGCGACTGCGATCTTCAGACCAAGGTTCCTTAGGAGAGAAGAAGTCGGTGGAGTGCAGAGTACTAGGGGTATTTTATTCTTTATGCAGAGGAATGGAGAATAATATTGGAGAAGTTTGACTTCGGAGCGCACGACCAGCCAGGAAGCTAGTCGGGTCCTAAGCGAGGGTTTAGCAGCAAGCCTGCCAGCGGCCAGCGTGCGCAGTCATTAGCTGAGTCGGCCTTGAAGGTTTTTGGTCAGACAGACTGCGTCGGGGACGCGTGCAGGCAGTTATTCGTTGCCGGGCCAGGGGCCAGCTTTGCGGCATCTGTGATTGGCTGTTTCCAAACGTTAAGAACAACGGTTGTAAGCTTTGGCAGAGTTCGCTTCGACGCGAGCTAGTCACGACAGGTTCTTCCTAGTAGAAAATCACAACGGCCATGGGTCCTGGAAGTCCTAAAGTGCATGCAAACATTTTTTGGCATGCCTGCAAGTCTGCTCAGTGGTGTTTCCACCTTAATTCAGCAAGGACGCTTAGGATCACTGCAGGTAATTTCAAACAAGAGGTCTGAAATAATTACAAGTTCTTATTGTTTCAAACTGTAATTGCACCTTTGATTTGCCGAAATATTCACATATTTCTACTTTATTTTAGCAACTGGATGGGACGTAAATATCGCAATAGTTGCAATTGGACTTGTCGCCACATTTTACACAACAATTGTAGGTTTTGGTTCATGCATTTAAAGTTGTGTTAATCATTTTAAGGTAATTCGATTGGAACTTTCTTCCTTACAATCTTTTACGTTGACCAAATTTATGCCCCTTCCCTTGCAAAGTGACATTTCTTGCACTACAATGTAGAATTTTCTAACTATTTAGGGTGGAATCAAGGCCGTAGTTTGGACAGATCTTATTCAAATGGTTGTCATGTTGGTTGGATTTATCATGATTATTGCCATGGGGGCCGCCGAATTGGGTGGAATAGACAGAGTTGTGCAAATCGCGGCCGACGGTAAACGTCTTGATATCTTCAAGTGAGCACGCTGCTAATAAATCTTTTTTTTAAAACTGTGGAAGACCGTTAAATGCTTTTTTGGTAGGAATTAAGTTGGTCGCTCAGCTGAACCCCGTCGTACAGAACCGGTGGTATTAGCTTTGTTTATTATTTAGTGTAGTTTTTATTTTAGTCAGTTTTGTTTAGTTTAGTATATAGTAGTTAGTTAAATATATTTATCTAACGCTAGCGGTTTCCAACTAAAATTGCAACATTGTTTTCCTGGAAGAAATTTGAACAAGGCGAAGATCACGAGATTAAACTTATTGACGTCATATAATTTTGCGACATCTTATTCCACTGCCAACGGTCATGGCCTATAGATAGGATAAATTACCTGTCCAATTGAGTGTCAACCTAAAAGGATGAAACTTGAAAGGTGAATAGAGAAGAAGGTATTAGTTTTAGATGTGGGCGCCTGATGAGGGGCTAGAGGAGGGGACTTAGATGGTGGGGGTGTTACCAGGAGCGGGGGGAGTAGTTTTCAGAGCATGGCAGTTCATGTTAGGTCATGAAAGCCTGTGAGACGTGGTATTTACATCCACAACTACATGTAAACTCGTAAACACAGTTTGATATGGCAGAGTATCTTTAGTTGATCTAACTGGAATAGCCGCTGTTTTGCTTATACACGACGACTTAGAGGCGGGGTAGGTTTTTTCAATCGTGCATCGAAGCCTTCGCTTTATCTCATTGGATACATTATCACCCTTGAAAGGCAGGCAGCTGCTCACTGGCTTTTTTGGCACTGACATTTCGGGAGGATTTTCTTGTCTGCAGTTGCGATACTTATCTACAAACTAAACTAAATCTAAAATTAAACTAAATAATAAATTAAAGGCTAAACTAAACCGAAACTTAAACGAGAAAACTAAAACAAACCTAAAAGTAACCACAGGACTAAGGAGTATCCAAGGTAGGTGACCAACTATATCGGTAACATAAAAATTGGTCGCCCGCCTTCGATACCTCTAGTTCCAGAATTCTGTCTGTTTACTTTTAGGTTAGTTAGATAAATATACTAAAATATCTACTGTATACAACACTGAACTAAACCAAGCTTAATTGAACAAAACTAAATAAACGAAAACTAATAAAACTGAAATTTACCACAGGAATAGGGGCTAGGGCTGTCTAAGGTGGGCGACCAACTTAATTGCTACCGCTTTTTACTTACTAACGCGGTTCTTGTTTTTGTGCCTTCATTAGCTTCGACTTCAATCCCTTTGTGAGGCACTCGTTCTTCGCCCTGACTTTTGGTGGCGCAGGCATGGTCCTCAGCATTTATGCGAGCAACCAGACATCTGTTCAACGTTACCTAGCTTGTAAAGACCTGAAGACGGCCAAGACGTGGGTTTTGCTACTTAACAACCTCCTACTTCTGACTATTATTTTCAACGTTTGCAGATAAAAAAAGTGCAGGTTAACCCAATCTGTGCAAATAATTATCCGGTGGAAGTTTATGCGATCTTGCAGTTTACTTTACCCGATTGCATAACCTGTACTCGTATATGTCTCTAAGAAATGACGTTTCTAGTAGCCAATGTAATTAACGTTTTGCTATCTACATCATTTGTTTAAGATAGCCCAGTAACCTAATACACTAGGCAGACTAAAATTACCGTTTCTAGCTTATCAACCCTCGTCAGCCAGTCATACCCAATCCCAAATGGTGCACCACCAGAGGCTGGAACTCGCCACCTTTTCGATCAGAATCTAACGATCTAACCATTGAGCCACGAGCTTGTTGTCTTGCCGCTTTGGGTCGGGAGATATTGGCACTCCTTGATAAACGTTCACAGACCGCTAAAAAACTCACTTTCCCCACTCTGCCTCGGGCCTCATTGCTTGGGACCTAACCTATGGTACTTGTGGTGTGCGCCACTCTACAAATCTTCGGAATTTTAATGAGTTCAAAGTTTTTGAAGTCAGTCTTCCTGCGTCAAGACATCCTAATTAACAAAAAGTAGGTGTTTTTCTCAAAGAAAAATTGTGCAGGATAAACACTAACAGTTTATACATGGCGCTTATAGTAGACGCGATAAAGCGTCTTATGAGATTTTTATGTTGTGAAATTACAGTAGATTTCCTATCTCATGAAATGTCACCCGGAATTTTGAAATGTGTTTTCGATTCAAACATAGTAATTACGTATGATTGTAATAATGACAATCGTACAGCCTAATCTCAATATATTTTAGTCACGTCAGGATGCCGACTTTTTAACGAGCTTATTTTTGACAGCTAATAAAACGTATGTACTGTAAAAAATGGCTACTTAAGTAGTATGCATTTTCATCTTGAATTTTGACTGTCTTTATAAATTGAAATAAATTCTATAGAAAATATGCATGAAAAAATTATTTCTTGTAGTCGTTTGGTAGCAAATTGCGCCTTCTTTAAATTGCATACTTAAACAATGAGTATCTTTCGGTTTTAAAAAAATTTCTAATTATGAGCTTTTTTACGATTGTATGGTGGTCATTCATTATACATCACATACGTCAATTTATTAGTGCTGTCTATAATATGTACAGCAATTTCCACATCTGTTGCAATATTTTATGAGAATTATGTGACTTCTTCCTCAAACCGCAGGCAAAAGCGTACTTTTTCCTTAAACAGGATGTACACAGCGCGCAGTTTGTAAATGTTGAATTCAAGTGTGGCAGTCCGTAGGTTTCAAAATTATTCAGCAATTCAGAAACTTTTTTTAAAACGGAAAGACACTCCCTTTTTAAGTATAAAATTTAAAGAAGGCGCAATTTGCTACCAAATGACTACAAGAAATAATTTTTTCATGCATGTTTGCTGTAAACTATATTTGATTTTATAAAGGCAGTCAAATTCCATGATGGAAATGCACGCTGCATAAGTAGCCATTTTTTACAGTACATACGTTTTATTAGCTGTCAGAAATAAGCTCTTTAAAAAGTCGGCATCTTGACGTGACTAAAATATATCGAGATTAGGCTGTACGATTGTCATTATTACAACCATACGTAATTACTATGTTTGAATCGAAAACACATTTCAGAATTCCGGGTGAAATTTCATCAGATAGGGAATCTACTGTATCTCAATTATTTGCGTTTTTGAATCAAATATCTGCAGTATGAAGTGAGTGCTTAATAAAGAGTACAGTTCAGAAGACGAAGATGCGATCACTGGAACAAGAGTTTTATTTGCCT